CCCCAAAACTCCCTGGCTTTCTTTAGGCTATGGGGTGAGATTTCCATTTCACTACACCTTTCAATAGCTTGGCTTTCTCTAGGCTATGGGGTGGTCTCCATTTCACTACACCTTTCAATAGCTTGCCACCTTGGTGCCATATCACTTTTTTTTATCATTTTCCTTTTCATCTAAAAAATTATCACATCTTACTACCTCTATCTTTTAATGTTTAAGGCTCTTATATTGTATGAGTGAAAAAAAAAAATAATAAGGAAAAGGAAAAAAATTAGGTGAGGTTGTGTTATGACTTCTCACCGTGGGAGGAAAAAACGAAGGGTTGGTTTTCAACTCACGCCCCTCCACCTTCACGCCCCTCCACCTCAGTCCTAAAACTAGAACATGAAATACCAATGCATCTTAATTATTCTTACCACGAATAATAATAATGTATCTTTTTATCTAGATCTGTACAAAAGCAGTATTGAATTAACCCGATTTTTTTAGGACCGGTCTCGGTCTATACCAGTTATTTGGTCTCGCGGTCTTTGTATTCATTTTTTTAGTCCGGATTCAATTTTTACGCTTTGCTTTCGGCTTTTTTCCTAGTACAGTTTTACTTTCCCGATTTGGATAGATAAAGAATTATGTTAGATTGGCGGTAGGTGGGAGTTGAATGATTTCGTAAATGTCTGAGTTATGTTGGAATTATATTGGTATTACGTGGAGTTGGGTGCTTCATAATAGGAGTGTGAACATTTGGATAATTTTACCCTTCCAAGATACTATAAATAAGTAATTGTTAGGTTAGTATAACCACACTTAAAAAAAAAAAAAACTCTTAATTCAAAATAATGGTTGCATTCCCAAAGGATATTGTTGTATTTGTTTTGTCATACTTTCAATTGGGCAATGTTTGAGAACCTTTTGAGTTGGTTCAAATGGCTTGTAGGTTGTAGCGAGTGTGCTGCAAAATTGTGGCGATTTATATACGAGTAAAAGGAATTATGTCCATACATGTCATGCCGTTTTCTCAAGTCCAAGGCATCCGATTGTAGTTAACAACAATTAAATAAGTTCATGTTTAAACTAACTATAAATTAAATTAAACTACTAAACACTCTAAAGGCTCCAAAATGTTCTCTTTCTCATAGGGTTGCTTGGGGGGGGGGGTCGATTTCACAGAAGGAGGCTAAATAAGAATGGGATGTGAGGCTTATAATGATGTTTAAATATGAGCCAAAACCTAAAACTTAGGGTTTGCATGATCCTCACGTACGCCTTGCGTACGAGGTGTACGCCCAGCATACTAAGGCGCGCCCTAGTAAGCTTAGCGTACACATGTACGCTCAACGTACTCCCAAAGTTCAAAATTATCAAAATGCCACTATGGGTCCTTTTGCACTCCTTCTTTTACTTAGGGACCAAAATGCAATAAATTTCAATATAATGGTCAATAATGAAAGTACCTCAAAACAAGATGTTACAGAATTAACCATGCAAAATCCCATGGTCCCCGGATCAAGTTACGCTTGATATTCACGAGTTCCATTTCATTCTCAACTATACTCTAAATTGATGTGTCAGTTAACCACACGAGCTCCACCAATAGAATATAAAAAGAATGTGCAATTTTCATGGATAATATGAACTTCACATTCTATTAATGAAATGGGATTTTGTTTTATACTTGTATTTAGAATACTTTTTGATTAACCATTATCACTATCAAACCCTTTCGGTAACTTCATTCTCAAAATACAATAGGGCGATGAGGGTGGTAAGCATGAAGCATATTAAAAACCGACATCATTATGAATCATAAAGACCTCCTTAAATCCCTACATCAGAATAGGTGAGGCTAGTCATGGTAAGACTAATAATGTCAATATTTAAAACGTACGATGACGCATGTGGTAACTTTTTTCATACATATATAAGATACAATTCTATATATATATATATATATATATATATATATATATATATATATATATATATAAAGGGTAAATTTAAAACTCATTAAATTTAGTTGTCTATTATTAATTATAATTAATTGTGAGGACGCAATGTAACAATTAATAAATCACGAAGGGTTAATATTCAAATTTATAAATCTCTATTATAAATCATATTAAATAGTTAAATTCACTATTTAAATAATAAATAAATATTCAAAATTAAATAATCATATCCAAAAAAATATTTATCAATTTTCCAGATTTAAAATATTTTAAATTTGGTATATATCCATATAGACAAATCTTCAAATTTGAAAAATAAAAGAAAAGGAAACCCTAAACTCGGCAGCCCCACGTCATGGGTATAAACCCCCACGTCGTGGCCTGCGATTAAAAGGTTTTTAATTACGAAAATTTTAATATTTCTTCTTTCATTCAATTTTAAACAAGCCTTTACAGAAAGTATAAATCTAGGGTGAATGTAATCATGACACACTAGCTCTGATACCATTGTTGGGTTTTCTACGCATCAAGATATACCTAAGTGTACATGCAACCTATGGATCTATGATTTCATGCTAATTACAACTACCCTAGAAAACATATATACAAAGAAGAAAAACACACCTCTTATGTAGACCTTGATCTCCATGCTTGAAATCTTGATCCTCCATGAAGTTTCTTGGATGAGAAGACCCAAACCAGAATCCCTCTAATGGTATCACATCAATGACACCAAAGAGTGTAATAAAAATAACTAGGAGAATGATCAATCACAAACCCTAAGAGGGTTAGAAATCGTCTGTAAGAAGGGTAGGAAGAAGGGTTGGCGAAACTTCAAGCCAATGTGTATGGAAGAATGAAATCCCTAATGCCCTATTTATAATCTTTGATCCCTTCTTAGGTTTTGTACTCCTTCCCATGTGGGATGGAATACCTAGAATTTCACTCCTTTTTCCCCATATGGGATGGAGTGATTTCATCCAACCCTAATTCCATAAGGCTCTGGAATATTCGTGATTAACCAACTATCGATTAATGAATATTCAACCCTTTAATTAAACTGTTGATATATTCCCAAAATATATTTCCTATTAGTTTCTAATTAATTATTAACAATAATAATTAATAAACAAATTTCTCCTTTATTTATTCTGCTCAATTTGGGTCTTGAGGGTGACCCAAAAGGACCCTGTTATTATTAGAAATATTATCAATAGTTAATGACATTTGACACTATTTCCAACACTCGCTACCCACCAAACCCTTTTGTGGAGGGAGCCTAAACCGCATCTCTCCCAACCCATCTTCCCCATTTTCCTTCTTTGATTCAACCCTCCATCGGTTTCTGGAACCCACTCAACACCCCTTTCTTTCTCTCTTACTTTCCTCCCGATGCTCCATCTTCTCCTTCCTGGTCAAATTCGCTCAACAAAACCGCTACAATTCTATCGTCCTTAATGATTGTCATACATGATTGAATTTGATATGTTCTTCATCAACTCATTGCCAGATTTTGTACTTTTTAGTTGGTTCCTTTAAGAACAAAAAGCAAATTTAAGCATATAAGAAATAAGGTCAATTTGAAAAAAAATAAAAAACTTGTTTGTAGAAAAAATGGTCAAATCGACATACCAATAAATTAGGGAAGACTTTAATTTTTTTTTTCAGGGTGTTTTTTTGTCTTGCAAGTGCAAAATATGAGTTGGGAGGAAACAATCACAAAGAATCTCGTTTATGGAGATAGATGAAACCGAAGCCGAGGAGATCGTCGAAGAGATCTTCTGCTTGAAGAAAACTAGGAAACCAATATTATTTGATAAACTCATGAATTAGATTACTAATATAAGTAAGAGGCGAACCACGTATGAGAAGACGTCATAATGATTGTCTCACGTACGATGTCGTGAGCAAAATACGAAGAAATCGGTCATAATGACTATATGTATAAAAGATAATAAAAACTTATTTTGTAAAAAAACATTAATGATAAAACATATACAAACTAAGAAATATATTTTTCCCCTTAACCTCAAGTAGCCAACTATAATGACTAAATATGTATAAAAAACAAGTTCAATGGTTAAATATAGATAAAAAAATATCGACCAAATATATACAAAATAAAAACTATATTACACCGTTACATTATTTTTGATACATTTATTTAGAAGAAAGGATAAAATGTAAAATGTGATAAAACTAGAAAACAATAAAATTGACTATTTGTAAAATATAAATCTTTAGTAATTCCTTCCATAACAATTTTCCAACCAATCATCAAACGCCCTACGCATTTAAAATAGTAGCTCACCTTGCTGATGGTTATTTTTGGCAAAAAAATAAATCTACATATGCCCTTGTTAAACTGTAAAATATCATATTTGTCTAAATTAAAATTTAAATATCATATTTTCATCATTTCTAATCTTTAAAATATGGTATTTGTTCAAATATTTTTTTAAACATTTTATAATCAGCCTTTATACTTAATAATCATTATAATTAAAAAAATAATAACTAGATTAACCTTATTGCCCCTAAATATTAATACCCTTTTTAACATATATTAAATCGATAATTAATTACTTTAAAACACTATCCTCTTGTACAAAACTCTTTCATATTCACATAACAAATAACCAATAAATTAAACCTTTAATAACCAAACACAACCACATCTCAATTAACTGATAATTTTTTTACAATATATTTGATATCTTTAAAGATTCATCAATAACATCATCTTTCAAGATTCATCATCATCATCATCATCATTATCATAACTCTCACCCAACATCCATGTCCTAGCTCAAGAACTTCTCAAACCTTTTCTTGGTCTAGAAATGCTAAATAGAAAAAATCTCAATGTTGATTTAACTGTACTCAACAAATTTACATGATCCCTCTTTCCTTCTAGTCTCCGCCACTCCTGATGCCGCCTAGGATCTACCCCCGATTGTCTTAGGGTGCACCATGCACCCCACATGCCTCATTAAACCTCAATACATCCTTGAAAACTAACATGTTTCACTTGTACAAGTTCTTGATTTCGTGTTCATGAATTCACAGGTGACTTCCACCAACACCCACCCTTTGACCTATCCCCGACAGAGCGGCATACCCATTTTGACTCATGGACAATGGTAATGGATAATGGTTCAACAGCGGTGACCAGAGTTACAAAAGACTTACAGAACTAGTTAAATCAGTTGGAGTAGAAGTGGCTTGTGTCACACATGTAAGGGTGACAATTGTTATCATGTGAAGAACATAAGAGAAGGAAAGTGTTGTGAGGGTATTCCATAGATACATAACATCGAGCTTCTTCCCATTCTTTTATATTTTGATCATTTTCTGATCGCTTTGAATGACTAGTGTTGGTGTTTTGGTGTTGCAATTCCTTCCTTAGGTGAAATGAGACATGCCCATCCAGTTATCACAGTTTTCAACGACCTAGGTAGCAACAGTTTGGTGATTTTAGTGTCACCGGGACATTTTGTGTAATCGGAACTTACATGTGAGCTAAAGGGCTTCGTAATTTGTACTCTAATATATTTTTGGGCATGTGCGGAGTGCATACATGTATAAGATCAAATTAGAAGTCGGTTTGACAACAAGTTAGGGGTCCGGAGGCAGCGCCCCTAGCGGGGTCCACGGGGCAGAGCCCCTGGTTGAGGTCCGCTGCCAGGTCAGCAAGCGGGTTCGAGGGGCAGCTCCCCAAAAGGGCTTTGGTTTTGACAAGTGGATATATAGTGGAAAAATAAAATCCTGGAGGTGATTATGGTAAAACTGACTAAGACCATCAATTTTGAAAACCATTGATTTACTCATTAATTTTGGATTCCCTTAACTTGTTTCCAAAGGAACCCATGAAGGCTAACCCTAAAACGAAACCCTACATATTGTTTTCTATATAAACGACTATCCTTTAATGGAGAAGAGAGAACCTTTTAGCTCTCGTTTTTCTTCATACGAACTTGAATTCTCTAGCGACTTGCCTTACGTTTTATGTGTCTAGATTCGTAAGTGTCCCATTGGGATTATCCTAGGCTAAATTTCTTCTAACCCGGGCATAGGGTAGAAATATCAATTCAGGAAGTGTTTACACGATCCAAGGGGTATCCCGATCTCTATTATAAACCCTACCCACTTTCTAACACAGTTGATATATATCTTCTCACCATCACCTATTTCAGATTTTAGAGACTATCCTACCCATAAAACCCATGTAACCATTCACTACAAGCTTCAACAATGAATAATTTGTATTGTTTTGAAGCCATCCTCCCGATATCTAACTCCCATCTTTCACTTTTTCCAAGAACTCGTTTATAGTTTTATCAGTAGATGTTCAAATAACTACTCTACATCTTCTAATTTTTGTCTCAGTTTGTCCGTAATCCTTTAAAAACATAATTTTGAAAAAAAATTCATGTCATCTATAACAATAGCAAAAAGTCGAGGATCATACACCTAGATTATCCCAATCCTACTACCCTCCAAATTTAAAGAAGAACCAACACGAAAGAAATCCCCATTTTCAAACGTATAAGGGGACCATGAATAAAGCTTAGGCGATCGTGTGATCTGATTCCAAAAGGGTTAATTAGAGGTAATTTAGTCAATTAAAATGATTATTAAAGGGTTAATTAGGGGTAATTTAGTCAAGTATATAAATTAAAGGGTATTCATATTTAGGGACAATAACGCCTTGTTCCCGAGTTTTTTTTTTTTTTTTTTTTTTTTTTTTTTTTTTGTAAATTCAATAACGGAAATGGAAGGAAAATATTGACAGAAAGAAAGAGAGGAGAAGAAAATTTCTCTTTATTGCGTGTTCCCGAGTTCGAAGGAAATGAAAGAAAATTTTTAAGTTTTTGTGTTCTCGAATTAGGAGGAAAAAGATAATAAAACTTGAAAATTTTCTTTCCCTCGCTTTCTTCCCAAATACGTCCAATTTTGGAGGAAAATTTGGATCCAAAATCCTTTGCTTCCCTCACTTTCCTTCCATTAGTGAAACTCGGGAACACGATTTTTTTCGACATCCCTCATTTTTCCTCCATATTCATCCATATCCCTCCTTAAGTAGAACGCAGAAACAAGGCGTAAGGTTAATCTATTTATTATTTTTTAACTATAATGATTATTAAGTATAAAAACTTATTATAAAATGTTTAAAAAAATAATTGGACAAATGTGATATTTTAAAGATTATAAAGGAAAAATATGATATTTTGATTTTAAAGCAGAGAAATATGATATTTTGTTTTTTAAAGATGGATAAATTCTTCTATTATTTTTAGTGAATAACTATTTATTTATTTATTCTTGTTATTTTTGTAACCAGCCCTCCAACTTTACAATGGAAACAAAAATTTACCAAGAACCTGAGAGGGATCCATAACCTCATGGAAGCTTCAAAGGAATCAAGGAGAAGAAAGCAGCAGCAGCGGCGGCCTGAGATTGTTCGGGAAATCTGCTCCAAGCCCGGTATGAAGATGAATTCAATTCCAATCCCCCCTCGTTTGTGTAAATGACTGATTTTCCAAAACCCTAGAATTTTACTGCCAAGGTCATCTTCTCTTTGTTGATCTGCTCACTGTTTCGACCTGCGATCTCTCTTGCTCTGCTCTTTGATCCGCCCTCTCGCTCTCCTCCTCATAGCATCAGGTAAACAACACCTCCTTTCTGTAGCTCCTCCTTTCGTAAACTGTCTGTTCAGACACTCTAGATTGTATTTTTGGAACCATGGAATTATCCGAGGTTAATCTGGGTAATTATTTGTTTGGTGATGGTGAGTTATGCGTCCTTTAAGTCTTGCCCACACTCGTTATTTTCACTCACAAAACACACCACTACTCAATTACAGAGCTCAGGAAAAGAAGACAAGTATAGACAAAAACACACATTCTGTATCTGTTTTGTTTCCGCAAGATAAACCATAGCAGATTGAGAACATACTTTACAACTCATCATCACTACTTTGTCTGTGCTTTGTATCTGCAACACATTCCTTTAAGCCCTGATTTTGTTTTATGTGTTTTGTGTCTGTATAATCATGAACTATACTGTATTTTAGGTTATTACTTAGTTGATGCCAATCACTTTATCGAACCAAACTTTGTTAATGGGTTTACAGAAGATGTCTTTTTGAATTTAACTCTTGAATTGGATGAAAGACTAGTAAGAATCTTGGATGACCAAATCCAATTCCTTCAGGACTACAAAACCATTCTTTTTATACATGCTCTTTATACATTTTGCACTATAAGTTTCTATTCTATTCTACCTTTTGATTACATTTTCATGGGAACATATTTTAGCTTATGACACATACGTGAAACCATGAGTCGACATATAACTGATGTTATCGATGAAGAAACAGACAGAGATGCCCAAATTATCGCATCTCCCACAAAAGACACCACAAACATTGAAATGGAAAAAGATCTTGAAGTCCCCGAAGGAATCGTATTCGAATCCCACGAGTCAGCATATTCCTTCTACCAAGAATACGCAAAATCCATGGGATTCACCACATCAATAAAAAACTCCCGAAGGTCAAAAAAGTCAAAAGAATTCATCGATGCTAAATTCGCATGTTCAAGATACGGAGTCACACCAGAATCCGATTCGGGTACAAGTAGGCGTCCAAGTGTGAAAAAAACAGACTGCAAAGCAAGCATGCATGTGAAAAGAAGAAAAGACTCAAAATGGTACATTCATGAATTCATAAAAGAACATAACCATGAACTCTTACCTGCTTTAGCTTACCATTTTCGCATCCACAAAAACGTAAAATTAGCCGAAAAAAACAACATCGATATTCTACACGCGGTTTCTGAACGAACAAAAAAGATGTACGTTCAAATGTCGCGACAATCGGGCGCGTATCGTAATGTTGACTTTTCAAGAAACGAGTTAAATTACCAATTTGACCGTGGTAGGTATCTAGCACTCGAAGAAGGTGATGGTCAAGCTATGCTCGAGTATTTCACGCATATCAAAAAAGAAAATCCGAATTTTTTCTACGCGGTTGACTTAAACGAAGACCAACGTTTAAGAAACTTGTTATGGGTCGATGCCAAAAGTAGAAAAGATTATATAAATTTCACCGATGTTGTTTCTTTCGATATTAGTTACGTTAGAAGCAATGACAAAATGCCATTTGCTCTGTTTATTGGGGTGAATCATCATTTTCAAGCTATGCTGCTTGGATGCGCGATTGTCGCAGACGAATCTAAAACAACATGTGTTTGGTTAATGAAAACGTGGCTAAGGGCAATGGGAGGGAAATATCCGAAAGTTGTGATCACCGATCAAGGAAAGGCGGTGGAGGCGGCCGCCATGGAAGTTTTTCCGGCGAGCCGCCATTTGTTCTCTCTTTGGAGTATCTTAGAGAAGGTTCCGGAAACTTTCGCGCATATTATCAGACGACATGATAAATTCATGACCAAATTCTTCAAGTGTATTTATAAGTCGTTAACAGACGAACAGTTCGATATGAGATGGTGGAAACTCGTGGGGAGATTCGAGCTTCAGGATAACGAATGGTTTCATTCGTTATACGAAGATCGAAAAAAGTGGGTCCCGTCGTTTATGCGGGACGTATTTTTAGCGGGAATGTCTACGCCTCAACGCGGCGAAAGTGTGAATTCTTTTTTCGATAAATATATTCACAAAAAAGTTACATTAAAAGAATTTGTGAAACAATATGCGACCATTTTACAAAACCGATATGACGAAGAGGCGTTAGCGGATTTTGACACGTGGCATAAACAACCCGCGTTGAAATCACCTTCGCCATGGGAAAAACAAATGTCTAGTATTTACACGCATACAATTTTTAAAAAATTTCAAGTTGAGGTTTTGGGGGTTGTTGGGTGTCATCCTAAAAAAGAACGTGAAGACGGATGCGTTACAATATATACGGTTGATGATTGTGAAAAAAACGAAAGTTTTAATGTTACATGGGACGAATCAAAATCCGAGGTTTGGTGTTCTTGTTTGTTGTTTGAGTACAAAGGTTTTCTTTGTAGACACGCGATGATTGTTCTTCAAATCTGTGGGCATTCAGTGATTCCATCTCGTTATATTTTAAAAAGATGGACGAAAGATGCAAAGAATGATGATAAAAATACGAATGGGGGTGATGGAAAAAACACAAAATCGGGTGCAATTATATAATGATTTATGTAAACACGCGATTCAATTGGGTGAAGAGGGATCTTTATGTGAAGAGAGTTATGATATTGCATTTCGTGCACTTGTGGATGCTTTAAGAGCATGTGTGGATGTGAACAATAAAGAATCTAGTAATGGCACTGTTTTGATACGAGATGTTGAGGATGAAAATTTGGGAGGTGTTTCTGGAAACAAAAGTAAAAGAAAGAGTGTAAACAAGAAGCGAAAGGTTTGTTTTGTTTTGTTGTCATGTTATTGTTTTTTATAAAATAATTTATATATTTATTTAGTATAACTTGTTGTATTTTGTGTGACTTTGTAGATACAATCAGAACCTGAACCTGTAATGCTCGAGGCACGAGATAGCTTGCAGCAAATGGTTAGTTTTCTTGAAATTCTATTTATAAATTGGATCTAATTTTATAAAAAAAAAATGTAAGGTTTGTGTTTGGAATTTGGATTAACAAAATTTTATCTGGATATGTTGGTGATAGGAAAGTATGAGCTCGGATGGAATAACTCTTCATGGGTATTATGGGGCCCAACAGAATGTACAGGGACTGGTATGACATTTTGTCTAATAATTACAATTTTTTTTTTTGTTAAATAAAAAAAAATTCTTAATTGGGTCAAATATAGCTGCAGTTGAACTTGATGGAACCACCTCATGATGGTTATTATGTTAATCAACAAAGCATGCAGGGACTGGTATGTAAATTTAACCTTTATTTTTGTAGATATTTAGTCAAATTGATTTTTTATTTTTTTTTAATTTGGTATAGGGTCAATTAAATTCATTGGCACCAACTCATGATGGATTCTTTGAGGCTCAACAAAGCATACATGGTCTGGTATGTTATCAACATACTTTCATTTATTTCTATTACAACATTGATTTATTTTTAGATTTAAAAATTTTCATTTGTATGTATGTAGGGGCATTTGGATTTTAGACCACCAAGTTTCGGTTACAGTATGCAGGTTAGCATGTGCATTTGTTACACATGACTGGACTAAACAGAACAAAACAAACTTTCTAGGGCTATTTTCCATGATAAATATGAGGAGGGCATTCACGTCTTTTGCACATACGAGAGACTCCGTGTTCACCCACCATTTTAGGTGGGACAAAAAATTGCAATTTTTGTCCTATTGATATTAGTCTCGGTTCCAGACTAACATTGGGCTAAACACAGTACAACCTGGTCTGTTCTATGAGCGACTGTTTTGTTCTGTGAGGGATGGAATAAGCATATAACTTTGATTTTTGTTTTGGTGGGCCCAGGATGAACCTAGTCTGCGAACCAATCAGATGCACAACAACCCCTCTAGACATTCATGAGACACTCACACGCGTCATCTTTACCACGTCCTTGATGTTATATATGTAAGAATCAAACCAATTAGCTAGCAATATTCCTAGTATTTTTAATCTAACATGTTCATATATATATATATATATATATATATATATATATTATATATATATATATATATATACGAATCAAATTTGATTTATTTGTTGTAATGTGATTGGTAGTTTTTATTTGCGTTTTGGGTTTGTGGCACCGTATATACGAATCAAAGACTGTAACGATATTTATAAATTGATAACAAAATTTGTTTTTGGAAGGTAAGATTGTCCACATGGTTTTTATAACTCGATCCAATCATATCCAAAATCGTAATAAGGATATGATCTCTTTTAAGTAATACTTTAGGTCAAGATATCGTCCAATTAATCCAAAATCCATATTATGGTAACATGAATAACAACCAAATTTACTTTGAATTGAAGTTCGATTAATTCGGATTGAGGCAAAGTTACGCATCTAGTCCTGACTATATGAATAACTATCAAATTAGCCCGGAGAAATTAAATATCCTTCTACTTTTCTTTCTAATTATCTTCCTACCCATTTAAAATAATGACAAGTGTCCTCAAATGTAATGAATTTTATCAAAATATGACATTTTTCATAATTTAACATGGGTAGAAAGATAAGTAGGAGCAAAAGGTAGGATATATTTAATTTCTCATTAGCCCTGTTCAAATGAATGGGCAGACCTAGGGCTTCAAATTTCGGGCACGGTGTAAAAATTTCGATGTGTTACCCATAAACTTAAAAACATATGTTGAGATTTAGCCACTTGACTTTTGTTGACATGACTTTTTTTGTTTTTTATACTTTCCTAATGATAGAATGCTTTTTATTCAAATTCTTTTGTGTTTTGTCTTATTAAATTATTGAAGCACTTGACCGTTAAATTGCTTTTTAAAGATTTTGGTTATTTTCTTTTCAAATTTCCGTTTATATTTTAATAGATTAGGGACGAAATCTGGCAAAGATAAATAGAAGAGGGGGCTAAAGTGAAAGTTTGATATCTAACGAGAAAAGAGAAGAAGAAAGGGAGCAGCGAGGAAGCCGGTCTAACACACACACAAACACGCACACGCACACGCACACGCACACACACAGAGAAGTCCGAAACCTTGAAATACATCACGCCACGGGAGTCGGGCTCTTACAGAAGAACCAAAACAGCCTGAATCATCGTCGGTTTTCCCTCCGATCAAACCAGGAGATCGAGAGAGACGGCAGAATTCCGTCTCCGATCACCGCTCTCTCATCTCCAATTCGACCGGAAGGACACATACTACTCAGATCATAACTTCTGCGTGTTTAATTAATTTTGTGAACTGTACATGTTCGTATGGTTCACGGATAAGTTTTTTGGATGCGAAGATCGAATGCTCGTGTGGCGCCAGCACCAGAAGCAGTCGATCGTCCGGATATCAACAATAAAGTGAAGAAGGAAATGGATAACTCCATAAAGCTTAAATTTCGCCCTAATCAACCTCTGCGATCCACTAATCTCTTCTCCAGAAACCAAAAACAATCTCATCTTGCGAAATCGAGTATTTTTGCGATCGGATTCCTCACTTTGGTTTTTGTGTCGTGTGGTTATTTCTATCTTAATTCGCAGAATCCGTCGGAGAAACGATACCGAGTTGTGATTGATGGAGGAAGCACAGGGAGTCGGATTCATGTGTTTGAGTATGTGATTAAGGATGGAGCTCCTATTTTCGATTTGAGTGCCAAGAAGGGGTTGGGTTCAATGCGGGTTAGCCCTGGGTTATCGGCGTTTGCGGAGGATCCCAAGGGAGCGGGTGAATCTATGTTGAAACTTTTGGAGTTCGCAAGGAAGAGGATTCCGGGGGAGAACTGGGGTGAAACAGAGATCAGATTGATGGCAACGGCAGGGTTAAGGATGTTGGAATTGAGCGTACAGGAGCGGATTCTAGAGTCTTGCAGGTCTGTTTTCAGTACTTCTGGGTTTGCCTTTCGCAATGACTGGGCTTCAGTTATTTCAGGTATGAGGAAACTGTATGTTCAATTCATGATTGTTTGTTTTCAACTTATACTTTGAGCTGGTATCAAGGATTTGGGATTGAAAAAATGAGGTATTGTTCATTTCTAAGATACACTTGGTGCTGATTGTCTTTCAGTTTATGGAGTCAATATTACTGTGGGCATACCTTTGCTAATTTTTTTGATCTTGGAGGTGAATGATTGATGATTATAGGACAAAACAAGTTACCATATGTTACTTATTTGAGATACAATTTTATGCCTTTGTATTGATTTTATCGAGTTAACATTCCTTGCAAGAAGAATACCTGTAAAATCTAGCTGTCCTTTGAAAAATGTGTCAGGTGACAATTTAGGCTGATTAGTGAGTATAGATGCAAATAGTGGTAGTTTAATGTGAACATGAAATCTCATTAAAGGTGAATGGAATTGTTTAAGAATCTTTCCATTTCAACAAGTATTTTCAGGCTTAGAAAATCTTTCCTTTTTGGTATGTTTCGTGAGATACATAAAAATAATGAAAGTTAATACGTATGATAAAACTTCAGAAAGTCAATTTTACTGAAATATCATTGTTTCAGGGTCTGATGAAGGAGTTTATGCATGGGTTGTGGCTAATTATGCTCTTGGAACTCTTGGAGGTGATCCTCAAGAAACAACAGGGATAATCGAACTTGGTGGTGCTTCTGCTCAGGTTTTCATTATTCTTCTTTTTCTCTACATTTCTAATAAAAAAAAAAAAAAAAACTTTATTATCGATTCTTGTTTCTCAAAAGAAACATAATCATATCTGATTGTCTTTCAGGTAACCTTTTTCTCAAACGAGCCAATACCCCCTGAATTTTCAAGAACAATTAATTTTGGAAATGTTAGTTATAGTCTTTACAGCCACAGCTTGCTTGAATTTGGTCAGGTAAACATCATTTACCATTCTTTATTCAATTAAATATTCATATTTTCATTCATTTTAGTCCACCATATAAATTTTACACTATCTGGTTGACTTTACATTCCTTTTTCTTCAGAATGTTGCATTTGACTTGGTTCGTGGGTCAAACTTTGCCAAAAGTAAAAATCTGGGTAGGTACTACATATGTTGTTACTTGTTAATCTCCTAGTTTTGATGAGGAGGAGGGCATTTACGTCTTTATGTTTGTACAGTGGATCCATGCTCCCCAGAAGGATACAAAAACAATGTGATAATAGGAAATAATATGACTCCAAGTTCTTTACTCCAAACAAATCACCAATCATCTATTCTACATTCAACTGGCAACTTCACTGAATGCAGATCTGCCTCCTATAAATTGTTGCAGAAAGGCAAAGGTACAATTTTTTATTCAACATTTCCTTTTTTTTTTTATTTATTTATTAACATTTTATTTCAAAAAAAACAGAAGACTGTGCCTTTGACCAATGCTCCATTGGGTCAACATATATACCCAAGCTCCAGGGGAAATTTTTAGCCACTGAGAATTTCTTCCATACATCTAAGGTACTGCTTCACTTTCTATATTAAATAAAAAATAATAATATTTTTTTTTATATATATAAATGTATTTTTTTTGGGTTGTTTTGTAGTTTTTTGGGCTGTCACCTAAAAAGTTTCTTTCGGAGCTGATGGTGGCTGGAAAAGAGTTTTGTGAAGATGATTGGTCAAATTTAAAGTCAAAATATCCAGGAATTAATGATGAGGATTTACATCGATATTGCTTTTCTTCTGCTTATATTGTTGCTTTTCTTCATGATAGCCTTGGAATTGCTTTGGATGACAAAAGGTACACTTTTATTCGAATAAAGAAATCCAAACATTTAATTGAATATATAAAATTAAATGGTATACTACTTTGAACAGGATTGGATATGGTAGTGAGGTTAATGATATTCCACTTGATTGGGCATTGGGAGCCTTCATCTTTCAAATCATGAAGGATTTAGACCTCGGGAAATTACACCCAACAACAAAGTCAAAATTTATAACACTCGGTGGTGTTGACACTACGACATTAGGTGGATTAATTTTTGTGATATTTTTAATATTTGGTGCGTATTTTGTATCGAAATGGAGGAAGCCCCACTTAAAGACAATATACGATCTAGAAAAAGGAAAGTATATAGTGACACGAGTAATAGGTAGACACTCATAGTTGTTCCTTTTTCTTCTTCCTTTTTGGCTCCTTGATTTTCATTAGTGGCTTCGCCTCAATGTGATATAATATGATGATAAATTGACAATATGATATGGTATCGAGGAGAGGAGACGCGCGTGTTTTGCATATGGGATGATGGTAGGAGTGATTTTTCGGGGGTGGGAAACCGATGTAATTTAGCATTTTCTTCTTGTCGATTATTCTTTTTTGCTAGATTTGTAAAAGAGGGTGCTTAATTTTGTGTTCTATTGGCATCGATAGATATATTCATATCATATTGGTGTTGCGTTATTGTAAATGTTTGTGGAATGACGAAAAACATTTTTCTTTTCATCTATACATTGTCTTCTTCACCACATGAAAGAATTGTGTCCAATCATGCAAGTGAGACATGTCTAGAATACCATCACAACACCTTAACATCTTAAGATGGGTACCCGAGTCCAAATAATCACACAAGACTAGCTTTAAGTGAATGCTTAGTTATGAAGAAAACAAGTGCAAAACAACAAAGTCAATTCCGTTATAAGGAAAGTTTATATCAAAGTCACCAAATGAAACAATCATGCACATAGAATGCATGCTCTTATCATAGATGGAAAAGAATATGACAACAAGATATAAAAACTTAATTAAATACCAAAAGTAGGATAATGACATGTATTCTTGTTAAACACACATTTTGTAAGAACTTCCTTTACTTGTTAAAGTTGTTTTGATTACTTATAAGTTATTTACATTTGGTACATAAGTCTTACATGTCATATAGTGAAGCCTATCACCCTATTTCATATAACAGGATCTGCATGGTCTAGGAA